AGAAAACCCTAGGTGTCAACACAATGCATGGTAACATGGGGGCGTTAAGAATTAGAATAGGGTTTTGGGACCCATTATCCGAATCATTTTTAATAAGGAATAGTATAGGCAATTATTGACCTACTATAGATCCCTTATAGACCCCCTTGTAGACCCCTTTAAAGGAATGCTATGTTAACTTCTACCTGAGTGCCTTAAGAAGAGCCCAGGAAAGTCCAGAGCCGAGGGGCATGAGGATAGAAACCAAGCATCGGTGAAGAAGACCGTCCTCTGGTCGATGCGGACGTCGAAATAAGGAGTTACAGTATTATCTTAGGGTTTATAGGCTTGGGGGTTTAGGGTCTAGGTGTATTGTCTTACGGCTTACGGCCCCTGTAGAGTTAGACGATATTATTCTATAGGGGTTTAGGGGTTAGGGTTTAAGGTGTATCAATTTACAACCCCGGTAGAATTAGACTACATTGCGCTGTACCCCAAGACCATATAGTCCAGCCATTACGGCCCCTACATGGCATGTGGTCTAGGCTCCAAGGTTTCCCTAGGAAGGCTCACTATAAAACCCTACTTAAAGGATCATGGGACTTCGTAAGTAAGGTTATAAGTAGGTTATAAATAGGATAACCCCACTTAGGGGACTTACAACCCCAATTATAACCTACTTACTAAGTCCCATGATCCTTTAAGTAAACCCTGGGTTCGAGGGCTTCGAGCTTCTGAAGCCAATGAAGATTGATTGCGCTACGCGGAGGTTTAGTTTTCGAGAGTCTTGTGGTGAAATTTGAGGCTTGCAATCCTCCTGGACTTTAAGGCTTTCATGGAACTTAGTAAGTAAGGCTATAAGTACCTTAATTGGGGTTATAAGTACTTGTAAGCATAGTTATCTTATTTATAACCCCAGTTGCTAAGTCTCATGATCTTTTAAGTAGACCCTAAACCCTAAACCCCATAGATCCCTTTAAGGAAGCCTATAGATCCCTTTAAAGAGCCCTTGAAGGATCCTTACTAAGGAACCCTGAATCCTCGGCCCTATGCCCTGCATCCTAACGGTCCAAGGAGCGGATGCCAAAGGGACTTCATCGTCAAGTCGTCATGGGAGTACCATTTGCTCCAGTGTGCAAGGAACCACCAGAGTAGATTCAGTCCTGTGCAGGGTAGTTAAGGGAATGGGGCTTAGTGTTTAGGGACATTTGGGTATTTGGGCAGATGGATTCTATTGAGGGAGGTCTTGGGTTTAGGGCTGTGGCTGCCAGAATCGCCTTACTGAGACTTCTAAACCCCGAACTGCAAGAGACCTAGATCCAGAGTCCGTTTCTCTGCACATGCTCCGGCACACCACTTAAACACCGAAACACCGAACGAACACGGACACCAACAACTAATAGATCATAGAAAGCCCTACACCCGAATCCCTAAAAACAAAACAAACCCAAAACCCTAGCTCCTAAACCTTCCCATTACACAACCCCAACTCCCCAACCACGCAACCCGCTGAGCCCTAGAACCCATAGTCATAATCAGGTTAGCACCACTAAACCTCACGACTGCAAGAACACCACTAGGTTTAGGTTTTAGGGCTTCAAATCCAAGCCGGTATTCCCACAGAAATCGAGGAACCTCATCAGAACAACAACTCAAACCCTGCACCCTAAACCCCTACCGCTTAAACCCTAAACCGCTAAACCCTTAAATCCTGGTACACCCTAAAACCTATAAACCCTAAACCCCGAACCATAAACCCTTGAATCCTATATACACTCTGAATCCTTAAGCCCTAAACCCCTAGGGGTCAGAATAGCCCACAAGCCTTATACAGTATGGTCTTTGGGCCCACAAGCCCTAATATATATATATATATATATATGAGTCCTTAGATCCCTTGGGAACCCCAAACCCTGAACCCGATGCCCGCGTCGGGGGGGGCCTTCTCGGACCTCAGATGGCTGCTCACTGGGTTCGGGTCTTTTGCGACGTCAGATTTCGGGGCCATAGACTGATATACTAAGCTGACGATAAGGTTTAAATTACTATAGGTAGAGAGGTTTAGGGGTTTAGGGTTTAGGGCTTAAGGGTTTATAGAAATTGGTAGGGGCCATAGATTGATATTCTTTGGGTTCGGCCCCCATACAGCAACAGTCTATAATAGGGCTGCTATTAAGGGCCTACTATATCTATATTTTGAATACGGACCCGATATGGGAGTTTCCGAAAATAGGGGACCCTAGTATAGTTCCCTAAATAATAGGATCCCTATTATAAGGACCCCCAAATCAGGTACCCTAATTTTTGGAAACTCCCATATACTAATATATAGGATGCTAAAAAATATTACTACAATAATTACTGTATTAGGGTTTGGGGCTTAGGCCTTGGTGATCTAACGACTAAAAACCGAAGGCTCCAAAACATAATGACGTAACGTCGTTTGTGAAGGCACCTCGTTTCTAAACTAAAAACTCCCTCATCAGACGTTCGTAACACTTTACAAAAACGCCCATAAATTCTGATCATTTCCAAAGGTAACTCCATACCCTACGAAGACAACCCGAGCTTCAGTGTGATTGGTGTGAAATTTGCATTCGCTGTCCTCGATGTGGCACAAGTAAACTGCATCATGCCGTGATCACTTCCGAATCTGCGAAGCGCCGAAACTGTACCGAAATATGTCTAAGGTAAGCCCTCAGGCAACCCTATCCTAATGTTGAAGTCCCCACCTGTAGGGTCACAGCCTACCTTGTTTCGGGGTACCTACTTTTCTATAGAACAGATGCTATCCTGAAAACTTGCTACCCTGAAAAGTGGTGTACCTCCAGGCAATAGACCCTAATCCCTAAACCCCCTAACCCCCCTAAACCCTAAACCGTGATCTCCCTAAACCCTAGACCCTAATGGACCTAAACCCAAAACCCTACTACTACTATTGTTGATGGACAAAATCCTGCATTACCCATTATAAGGAATATACCATAATTCCCATAGCTTAGAGTCATTAGGGTCATGCAGGATTTTGTCCATCAACAGTATCACAGACCCAGGTGCGGCTCCGCCCAGGAGGATGGCCCAGTACCGGTGGACGTTCTGCAGGGAGTTGCCCTGGAGGCGAGTAGTAGTATTATTATGATTACTGTTTTTCGTAATTACTTATTGCTATTATGCTTATGATGACGATTATCCTTATTACTACTATTACTCTGATTATAATATTGCTAAGACTATGATTGTTTATGTTCGGGATTTAGGGTGCGGGGGTCAAAAATGGTTTAGGGTCAAGAAGTCTAGGGTGGGGTTTCGGGTGTAGGCCCTCTAGGCCTTGTCTTAGGCTCATGCTTCGGCTCCGTTCAGGGTTCTCTGAACAGGTGGATTCGAAAGATTCCCACAAAGGGTTCTATGAGGTTTCGGATTTGGGAAACAGATGTGGCTTGTAGGGCTCGGGGGCCTTTGGGTTCAATTTCGGTTTGTACATATAGGGCTTAGGGCTCTGGGTGTGGAAAGAGGGTCTTTATGATCTGAGCATTGGGGTCCAGGGTTCGGGTGTTGGGATATCAGACCTTGATCATTTTGAATATTGCTCAATACTTGAACATCCAACTCTGAACAAAAGCCAAAATCAAGCCTCTCAGCCCTCATCTCCAAGCCCTCAACCGTGATAGACCAACCCAACACCGAAGACGGTGCCTCGAACCGGGCTCGAGTATACGATCCCTATGCAGAACCCTGTGTCCTTCCCTAACAAGGCCCCATGGGGTTTAGGGATGTTTAGGGTTTGGGTCAGGTTCATATCGGGGGACTCCTGAAAACCAGTGGTCCGTACGGTAAGGATCCCAGTACTTCGGGCGTCTCATTTCTTCAGCTTCCATGCCCCAAACCCCGAAACCCTACACCCCAAAGGCTAAACCCTAAGCACCCCCTGAAAGCCAAAGTCCTGTGACTCCATCGGAAGTTCGCAGGAAAAAACTGTTAGTCACGTAACATGAAGCACCAATATAGAGGCCTGGACAAATCTCATAAAATGTTCCCCCACTTGGGTCTCTGAAATACCTTACCAAAATCACAGACACCCCAACATCATATCTTAATGATTTTGAGATATAGGACTCCAAAGTAAGGCACCCCAAATTTTCGGAAACTCCCATAAGGCTATGCCAGGATGCTTCAGAATTGGGCCGCACGCCCCAGTGCAGCCTCCCACACGAGGAAAAGTGCGCAGGATTTGGCAGGGCTTAACTTCTTTTCTGTAATGCATTAGGGCTTAGGCAACCCGCTGGGACAATGACGATCACTAGCCAGGAGTCTCTTTCTGCGGATTGAAACCATTACCCTGAGGGACAAGGGCTCCATGTACCTACGTATGTAGTTCGGGCTGCGGCCCGGGTACTACAAGGCCAAAGTATGTACGAGGGGTACAAGGAATGATAGGGAATAGGTCGGTTTAAGATATTTCACAAGAACGTTCCAACATACCGTTTGCGGCTACTGTATATCCTGCCCTGCACGGCAAAACCCCTAAGTGGAGCAAGGAGCAGCACGACAAGGTCGATGCCAAGAAAGAGCCATGAGGATGCGAAGACCGGCCACACAAGCCTGGGCGCAAAACATAACCTAAGGGGCAGGGAAACCGAGCCCCGAAAAACCGAAACCTCAAACTCCAAGTCCAACACTCCAGACCCCGAAGACCCGGCCTCCTCAACCCTAAAACGCACAGTCTCTAAACCCTGAACCCCAGACACAAACACCCACCCACCACAAAACATTCTGAAGATCTAGTGGTCGCGCAGCTTGGCTCCCACAAACAATCCCATCAGGGGGGCCCTCCCTGCCCCTGCCCCGGCGCCTGCCCTGCCCTGGCCTAGGATGCATCCCTGCAGACCCTTGGCAAGCCCAGTAAGAACTCCTAAACTTCAAAACGAAAGCGAAAAACCTCCACAAAACAAAATCGTTAACCAACTTGCTATAAGGTCGAATGAAGACCTTCAAAAAAGGCCCGAAGCAACTAGCCCTAAACCCTAAACCGAAGCAACTTTATGTAAAGGTCGAAGAGGCTGGTCCCAAAGGCAGTAGATCACCCCCTGGATAGGCAGCTTCGAGAAGACGTGGCCATGAGTTTCCCAAGTCCGCGTCCTCAAGGCTGGCAAAGAGGCTACTACAGCATAAAAATTACAGGAGTATGGCTGTATATATATATATATACATATGTATATGTACATACATATATATATATACACGCACTCAAGTTATATGTACACGGTACCGAAGCACAATGATAACACTAGTGAGAGTATATGTATATAGTGCCACGGCATGATCATCATAGTATGATACTGCTTATATAGTTATATATATACATATACATATGCATACACAATACTACGCACAAACAGTATCATACTGGTGCAATAGTGTTCTATGATAACCGTATAGTATATCAAAATGCCACGAATAGTGTCATAGTACTGCAGGGGATGCTGATAGATGGATAGATAATCAAATAAATAGGTTCACTCGATAGTATCACACCAAAACATTATCATACGAATGCAGGCTTTCGGGCTTAGACAGTCTGGATATGGTGCGCCTACAACACAAGGGCTCCGGGTTGCGGCATTTTTGCTAGGGTTTAGGTGATGGTCAGGGCAGAGGGCTTCGTGGACTTTGGATTGTTTGGCACGAAACAAAAAACATCCAAGACTATGACATAGCGCTCGGTTACAATGTCTGGTGTTGTTTCTGACTTTCAGTGGTGCTGCAGCGCTCGTACTCCTCCTGGCACGAAAACGATACGATGATGTCAACGAAAAGACAGCGAACAGTAGCAGACATTATGCCAAGAGTTGAGCGTGGGGCTTGGGGCCGCGTAATATGTGTGTATGCGTATACACATTGGTATATGTGTGTGTATGTATAAAACACAGTCATACATACATGTATATTCTATATATATATATATATATATATATATATATATATATATTTATAGATATATATGCATACAGACACAGGTATGTGCATTTGTGGATGGGCGCTGTATATGTATCCATGTCCTAAACCCTGAAATTCCCCAAAGCCCAGGAGACATAAGCATTTTATGCTCCACTCAGCCAAGGAACAACGCCATCAAGATGTCTACATCCAGCACGTTGGGCAACAGCAGTGCCTTCACGTCCACATCGTAAACGTTGTCTTGTCGGATGTCACCTACCTGGCATATAAGGGATCATGGAACTTAGCAAGTAGCGTCATAAATAATGCAATTGTATACTTAACTGTTAGTTAGAACTACTTCTGAGCCCAGCTGCACTTTGAGATCCTTCACAGGGTCCCCTAACAACAAGCTCTCAGAGGTTTAGTTACCCCAATAAGAACCCTAGTTGCAAAGTGCCATGAGCCTTGAAGTGAAGGCTTGTAGCTTCAGCCTTCTTTCAACCCCTCTGGGACTCGACAGCCTGAAATCCTTGTGCCCAATATCTCCGCAGCCTCAAAGCGAGATGCCCTGCACCTAAGCCCTCTTTCTTTTCGTGTGTAGGCTCAGCTCTTTGAGTGGGTTTAGGGCTGAGGGCTTAGGCTACCGAGTAGGAACTTAGAAGTCTTTGGTTCAGATTGTGCGGCTGCACTGCCAGATATGTAGCGCTTAGGGCTTAGGGTTTAGGGTAGCCGGGTGGCCACAACCCTACATCACAAATCCATTCAGAGACCAACTGAGGCAGGGACAATCTTCGGAATGAACTTCTTGTGCCAAGCCCTCGGCACAAACCAAGCTGAGCTGGAGCAGTGTGCTTTAGGCATTAGGCGTGAAAATAACAGCATTCTTCAGCAGTGTAGCAAACTGGAGAAAGAGGCTGGGCTGAAAAAGCCTGCATGCGAGTGAATTCGCATGCATTTCTTCTCAGAAACTCTCACATTAAGCTGATTCCCGACAAGACCCCTCGAAAGCACCCTTACAAAGCCCTTATAGCACCCTGACAGAACGAAAAAAAGGACACCGGAAGCTCGGACAAGTTCGGGAGACTCTAGATGTAGGGCTTTTGTGGGGACGTTAATCACTGGGTTTATTTGTTGTTCATGGAGTTCAAAAAATCCCACTGGGTCCGTAAGTAATTAGTCCTATGTTCCTCACATTCCCGCCGCCCCAAAGTTCATGCACATCTTTCTGCGGGATACTTACCCGACGCAAAACATCATACACATTCCTGAAGAACTTTGAGTTGAGTGACCCATCGTCTACCCGTGTAAACACTTTACAGACTTGAGGACTCAGAACCGTGTGGGCAAGTTGATTTTTGACTGTGAGCCAAGATGCAGCTGCTTCTGGTGTGCCGCATCCACTTCGGCATTGAACTCCCAACGTGGCCACGTCAATCCTCGTACTTTGGCCGTACCATCCTGGTATGCGCAGCGCAAAGGACCAGATTGTAGCCAAGTACCTGGGATGGATCTTGTAAGGAGTATGATTCACGTATTCCAGAGTATGTAGACCTTTGCTCAATAAACCTGTTAGCTTTACCCTTGACAAGCAAACCCATATTGCGCATCTATCATAAGTACTAGTACAGCACGTATGCGCAGAGGGGTGTGTCATTCATGCTCCACACCGCGCAAACAAAGTGTAGACTAAAAGGTTGGGTTGGGATTCCTTTGAAGGCAGCCAACCCCAAACCAGAAATTCATCTAAACCCTAAACCATGTGCACCAACCAGTACACACCCATCGCCCAAAAGAGCCCCAAACCGTAAACCTTGAGCCCTAAACTTCCCTAAACCCTAAACCCTAGGGGTCATGCACCTGATTGTCATGCATGTACTCCATAATACCTACCTATGTGAGTTACTGTCCTAGGCCCAGAAGAAAGATCCCCGAAACATCCTTCTGACGTTAGAACTCGAACGCCAGTCGGAATGGAGGTTCGCCAACACAATACCTGGATATCACCCAAATAGTATATACTTTGGCCCCAAGGTACCTAAGTAGGAACTACTTTATGCCCGAAGTATAGTATACTATATGGGCACATGGACCGTTAGGGAAACAAGACAAACACGCAAAAAAAAAAGCAACGACATGACATGTTTGGAGTTCTAGTTTCGCAGACTGCCGTGATGACCTCAGCCCCGAAACTTCTGCGCAAATGAATAGTACTTAAAGATCCCAGCCAGGACCTAGTAACTAAAGTCATAGATTATTAGGGCAACTATACTATCATTGCTTATAACCCCAATTGAAATTGTCCTGACTTAGTAAGTCCCATGAACCTCCAGCTAGGTGGGCATACATTTTTTGGGGGTCAGAATATCGGACACGGTGCGTGCCGGGAGTGGATGCCGTGCAGCATCTTGGATGATGGGCTTGACGCCTGTCGCCAAGGTTCGGGGCTCACGGCTCTAACCTTTGGGGTACAATCCCGGAGCCCTGAAACCTCATCCTAGTGTGTAGGCTCAGGGGGAATCCTATGCTGTGGAACCGGAATTATCAACACCCAAACCTAGAACTACCCAGACCTTCCAATACTTCTTAATTCAGGAATCTACCTTAGAAGCTGACCCCACCCTGTAATAGTGACTATCAGGATTATATGAGGGCCCTATCTTATATTCCTATTATACCACTATTACAGGGTGGGGACCCCTTCTAAAATCTACCAGAAAAACCTAGCAGCATCCCTAGATTAATTGAGGCAATCTTACCCTGGGCATCAAAATAGCCCAAAAGCCTTATATAGTATGGCCTTTGGGCCCAAAAGCCTGAATAGATGAGTCCTGAGATCCCTAGCCCTAAAATAAACAAGCTGGTTGAGGAATTACCCTAAGGCTCCAAATTGCCCAAAAGCCTTATATAATATGGTCTTTAGGCCCCAAAGCCTTAAAATCTGAGTCCTTAGAGCCTTATGGTTATATAAAGACATCAATAATGCAAGAAACCCTACAAAGGTACGTTTTCGGGAGCTCAGGCAAGTCGCAGCAGTAAGAATTGAATTGTTTCATTATTCGCATCTTTAGAGTTTATAGGCTTAGGCAACAGCGGAGAGATGCCGACAGCCGACAAAGCCACAAGCAGCAAAGATTTTAGAAAGCAGCCGCGACCAACTAAAGCAGTAGTCCAGTAGGGTTTGGAGGTTTAAGGGGTTAGGGTTTTAGGGATTTAAGACCTAGGGTAGGGTTAGCACACAAAGCCGAATCCCACAGATGCTGAATTGAATGCCATGAACCCTAAAACCAAAAAGCACTCAACCCTAACCGTAATCCGTAGCCTGCACGCTTATTGGGGCTGATAATGGCTGGACCACGTAAACCTTGAAACCCCCGCAAACCGAAACCCTAAGCCCTCAAACCCCAAAGTCCCTAGATCCTAGAACCCCTAAAACCCCTCAATCCCGTAAACCCTACACCCTAAAGCCCCTCAAGACTGCTATACTGAACTTAGAACCCTAGCCAAATTTATAATTTTAGCTGTTTCTTAGAGATTATAATACCCAAAATAAACTGAGCCCCAAGGCTGAAACCGAGTCAAGCCACAAAGTGCGTCCAAGATCTCGGCCCCAGCGAAGGGGACCACATAAAGCAGAGCTGACGAGGGAGAAGGGATGAGAAAAGCTTGGGTAGGTTGCTTTGTGTTCTATTTCAATGCTTGTAACTCGGCTTTCTCTTGCAAGTGTTAAATCTACGGCCTGTTTATTGCTATTTTACCTTTCCTTGTTTTCAACAGAATTCCAGAAGCCGTTGATTCTGGATATTCTGGTCATCAAGCTGCGGGTTTCGTCTAGACATGTCGGATGTGCTAACACATGCTTCCGTGAAGACCTGGTATCTGAAGTGACCGCGACTCCCTAAACCCTAAACCCTATAAACCCTAACCCCTAAGCCCCAAACCCTGAGCCCTAAGCCGCAAGCCGGGGCCACCTCAAGGGGAGACCCAAATGTTGGAACACTATTGTAGGTAGGCGTCTTGATAACTGGAATACGGTATGGGTATAAGTAGAGTAGAAAACAAACCATAAGGAACACACTGTTGGTAGTTCTCGGGACCCAGAAAAGGACCTAAACAAAAAGCATAAGGTTGGGATATCCCAGAATCCCCTCTTCAATAAAGGCAATAAGATAGGGATATCCCACCCGAAAGTTTATGTTTGGGTGCTTCTTTGGCTCCTGAAAGTTCTTTGAGCCGATACACTACTTGCGACAAGTCATCAAGGAGTTTAGGGTTTAGGGGGTTTAGGGGTCTAGGGGCTCAGGGGTTTAGGGGTTAGGTTTAGGGGTTTAGGCGTCACAAAGACTCACTTGCCGAAATGCTGCGACACATGACACCCTGCACTTCAAACCTTAAAGCCGACACCGCGAACAGCACAGGTTGTTGCCCTGAAACCCGACATATAACTTAGGTACTGCCCCCATACAGTAAGAGTATATAGCAGGGCCACTATTAAGGTCCTAATATATCTTTACTATGAATATGATTCAACTATTACTGAGTGGGGGCCGTACCCAACATATATCCGGGAAGCCTACAGCCCTAATCTCCGAATCCAAAAACCCTTACAACGTAGACGCCAAAAGCCCTTCACGTGAAACCCTCAAGCCCGAAACTGCGAACCCCCTTTGAACCGTAACCCCTAATGTTCCTAAAGCCCTAACCCCATTGCAAGTGTCTCCCCAACCCCCTACTTGGAGGCCCTTTTGACTTAGTAAGTCTACTTAGTATCCCCTAGAAACCCTATTAGAAACCCCATAACCCACCTTACTAACCCTACTTACTAAGTCAAAAGGGCCTCCAAGTAGACCCTAAACCCTAAACCCTATAGATCCCTTTAAGGAACCCCTATAGACCCCTTTTAGGACCCCTTTAAAGGAACCCCTACTTACTAAGTCAAAAGGGCCTCCAAGTAAAAACACATCAATCTCAGTTCGAAGGTGCCTGCGATCTTGTCAACCCCACCACTGAGCTGGGCTTCCTCGACAGAGATGTGGGGGGGTTTCCGAAAACAGGGGTACCTTATTTGGGGGTCCTTATAATAGGGATCCTACTATTTAGGGTACTACATTAGGGTCCCCTGTTTTCGGAAGCCCCCAGATGCGAATCCAACAAAAAGCTACGGCACAAAACAGGCAGATAGACTTAGGTTTCTGAGTAGCCCCTTTTGTCATGAGGGTGCCCTTTTTCCTACTTTTTGGTTTCACAAAGGGAACCTATAATACAAACGGCAAAAGAGGACTGCTCAGGAACCTACAGAGGGCTTAGCATTTAAGGTTGAGGCCTGAGGCACAGGATGTAGGGCTTAGGCCTAGGAAAGGAGGAACTTCCAGGAGCATACCGTAGACTAGAGCTATGGACGGAGTGTATTACCCCAAAGGGTCCAAAGTACCGATATAGTAGAATGTAGGGTTTCTATATTAGGAATTACTATTATGATTTGGGGAAGTATTCCCCATAACAGTACATAGGACCCTTTGGGTACTCATTCTGCAGTCCGCGATGTACGGCGTAGCGGCTTATGGATTGCAGGAGTTTAAGGGGCAATGACTGAGGGTATTGTGGAGGCGGAGGATTGAGCGTTCAACACACGACCCTGAAGCCAAAAGTAGAATTCGAGGCCCCTAAACCCCCTAAACCGTACCTAAACGCTAAGCTCTAAATCCAAAATACTACTAAACATCTGTTGGAACTTCAGGGCTTTGGGATCTTAAAGGTAAGTGGACTTCCCCTGGGCACACGAAAGCCAAAGCCAGCCCCCTGTCGCTGCCTGAGGTCCTGGATCCGTAATTAACACCTCGATCCCTAACCGTAAAACTCGGTTCGCCGCTATTCCCTCAATTATAATGGTACCCTCTTGCCCTCAGTTTTCAGAAGGGGACCCAAGAAGCAAAAGGGAAAAGGATGCAACAGTGCACTACTGAACACCGTCAATGTCGAAATCCTCACATCCCGAATCCCTAAACCTGAAAACGTCCTTGATCAGCATATCCATGAGCCCCTGGTCGGCTTTCGCGCGTTCCACGAGGTCTCGGGTGAAATCCTCGGCCACCTTGAGGTTGCCTTTGCCATCGGCGTCTGGGGTTCAGCGTTCCGGGGTTAGGGTCTTGAAGGTTCGAGATTGCGCGGGCTTAGGGCCAAGGCGTGTGGGTTTTGAGGCGGGCTTGGAGTTCATGTAGGGTCCAGGGACAGCGATCCTAATGCTAAGGCTAAGGCAGTTAGCGTTTCACGGTTTACTCCGGGCCAAAACTACTATCATTGTTTGTTTTGTGTTGCCTCATGTTACTACAGCACAGCATGCCAGAACTGTTTTCTATTGCATAAGGCCTTTACATTCTTTGAAACCGCATAGAGGCCCCACAAGCCCTGTAGAAGCCTTCAACAAATTCGGCCCAAAGCAGGCGTGCGAGCCTGGGCGTTGGGTATCGCAGCTGAGTTCTAGGCGGAACGAAGCTGAGGTCCGAAAAACCATGGCTTCTCGATCAATTCCATCGAGTTTACAAGCTTTTCCTGGGTTTCATGGCGATTGTATGTGAGGCTCTATGAAGGTTTTATATTCCATGGGCAAACATTCGGGATATGCGGAGGACATAACTTAATTTCCTTGGCTTGGTAAGTTGTAGAAACCTCCTGCGAAAGAAATAAAGATGTTTGCCGCCGTGATGCAACGGGATAGCAGGAGAATATCAGAAAATGCGCGCGGTGTGTCCAGGTCTGTGGACCTCAGCACTTACTTGGCCATGGTTGTTGTGCATCACAATCGGCAAAGGCAACATAACAAGGGGTTTTAACTTTCCAGCACGAAAACCCTCGGTTTCGGGTAACCCTACAAACACCTTCTCATTATTCCGCGGTCCCAGAGACTCCAATATCCCTCAATTAAGAGATATTCCCAAAATCATATTAGGGATCCTACCATAAATAAAGGCATATTCCTTAATTAAGGGATCTTGGAGTTTCTGGCATCGTCGACCCCTACACCAACCCAACCACACAGGTCTCGGGTGTTGATAGTCAGCTTCGAGTCGGGGCTTTCCTTTATCTTCAGGACATGTAGACGGTTCAGGGTTTAGGACTTAATTAGGCTAGGGTTTAGGATTCAGGGTTTAGGGTTTAACTAGGCTAGGGTTTAGGTTTTAGGGTTCTATTCAATGCCCTTGGGCCCCTGAACCCAAAGTAACTTCGGGGACGCAGGGGGTCCCCTCGTAGTAGATACCGGGGCCTCATGAGGAGGTGCCTTGGAGCCTTGGGGAGGCTTGACGGGTTACGAAAATATAGGCGCCCTGATGTTTAAGAATAGGGTTTGGGGGTAGGGTTTAGGGTTTAGGGTTTAGGGTTTAGGGTTTAGGGTTTAAGAATAGGGTTTGGGGGTATTGCATACTACACAGGAACCCCCACAAGAGTATATAGGTGATTACTAGCGCCTCTGTCTTGGGCGACCTGCTCGTTGACGAAAAGTGACTTGCACCCTGAATCAAAGCCCCCAAAAGGCATCAAACATTACTTGGAGGATCATGGGACTTAGTAAGTCAGGCTATAAGTACCTTAAGTGGGCTTATAAGTGGGTACAAGTATAGATACCTCATTTGTAACCCCAGTTCCTAAGTCTCATGATCCTTTAAATACTTCACAGCCATTGACAAGATCGGATCGAAGGCGAAATGAGGACAAAAGCAGTCCAGTGACATCGGACCCGCTCCCAATTGCCAGTTTATAGAGGTAGGCTTGGGGCTTTTCATCCAGACCCGCAGCAGTCAAACTATCGCAAGTGTTGGCTTCTCTCTCTCTCTCTCTCGCTCGCTCTCGCGTTCGCTCTCTCTCTCTCTCTCACTCTCTCTGCCTTTTCTCGCTGGGGCTAAGGGGCTTTAGGCCTTCGGGTGCAGGGGACGTGGGGATGCGAAGAATACGGCTTTCGTTACAGGGCTCTAGAATCATGGTGACTATAATATAATGAGGACTCTAGTATAAGGGCCTCAATAATTAACAAAAACAGGGTTCTGGAGTACTTAAATAAGGAGGCTACTATAATTAGGATAACTCCACTTAGGGGACTTATAACCCCAATTATAACCTACTTACTAAGTCCCATGATCCTTTAAGTATGATTTAGTATGATTATGATCACATTGAGGAGCCCTCAGCAAAAGTGTTGGTAATTCATCCGTCCGAACCCTATATGGGAGTTTCCGACAATTCGGGGTACCTTATTTTGGGGTCCTTATAATCAGGATCCTACTATTGAGAGTACTGTAACAGGGTCCCCGATATTCGGACAGCAGCCACGTGGCTGATAAGAAGCAGCCATGAGGTACAGCAGTTCCTTTGGATACCTGGGTTTCGGTTTAGGGCTGGGAGCCTATTACTTTCGGGACCCCAAAAGCACATAATCGTAAGCATTTTATGGGGATTTCCCTACCTTATTGGGCTTCATGAAACGGAGGTTTATATGGGATATCCCTATCCTTGTTTTTGCTCATGTGCTCTTTTGGGGCCTTATCTTTGGGGTTGCAGTTAGGGTTGCGATTCACGTTGAGCGGTCCTCAAGATGTTGGATGATTTGGGGATCAAGCTTTCGGAGCTTACCGTTGATGAAACCGCCAGCCATCCCAAAACTCGGCTGTGAGACGATTTGTCTACCATTCGAAGTCTATGAGTCAATAAACACGGCTGTCTCTTTTAGCCTGAAAGCTTAAAACCGCAAACTAAACCCTAAACCTGCTCCGCTCCGCTTCCAGTAGCGCTCAAGCTCACAAACCATGAAACCTTTGATGACCTGTACTTCCAACAACAATGTGGACTTTCCGAGTCCTAGATGCTACCCTCCGCCCTCCCTGCAAGGCTCAAGCCCACAAACCATGAAACCTTTGATGACCCACACTTCCAACGACAAGGTGGGGTTTCCGAGTCGTAGGAGCACATAGAAGGAACGAGCGAAACGAAAGCAGCTTCCGGTATGTTCGGGGCATGTAGGTCTTGGGATTCTGCAGATTCAGAGATTTCGAGGGATCAGGAATTTGGGTTTGGGGCTTTGGGTACGGGATTCAGAATGGCATGTCATAAACCCATAAGAAACTACAACATCATTTAATGTCACAACTCCCTATTGAGCCAGGATACCCTATCGAGCTACAGAAACACTGAAAGAACGGGACCCCTAATGCTGCCATAAACCGGCAAAGGTAGAGTTTCTGGAAGCGGTTCACTAAAGGCCGAGGACATGCTGCTTAGGGTATACTGTCGAAGGTAAAGGATGGATGAGTCGAGGTTTCACTTCGCTCAGCCCGCATAATGTCTGGGACGCATGTCGACGAAGTGTTCAATCCCCACACCGATACCAGGAATCCGAAGCCCTGCGAATCCTACCCACCAGGATCACAAAAGAAAGGAAAGACCCGTCACTGAACTCAAAACCGTGTTCGGGCCCCCAGACCGCAAACCCTTGTCATTTCGTCTGCCCGAGGCACTGTGTCTCGGCCGCGATTTCAAGCGGGAGCTTCTCTTGCAAGAACTTATCCTCGGCAGACGCAATGCGTACACACGCACATACATGCACAAATGCAAGAGCAGGCACAAAAACATGTATGTCGGTAGACGAAATCGACAACATGCGTGTGTGTGTGTGTGTGTGACTCTGTGAGTGTGTGTGTGTGTGTGTGTGTGTGCGTGCGCGAGTGACTGTGTATGTGACTGTGTTTGTGTGCGCATCTGTGTGTGTAGTGCGTGTGTGCGTGCGTGTGTGTGTGTGTGTGTGTATGCGTGTCTGCCGGCACATGCGCATAGATGTGGGTGTGCACTTATGTCTGCATGCATGCAGGCATGTATACATGAATGCATACATGCACCATGCTTGTAGATCCATCGTATAATAGCCCTAGTTAATCCCTAACCTTCTCACGAAATCTTAAACCTGTATCCGAAGCTGCACCCTCCATCCTGAGCCTTCATAATTATACCTATAATAATTAATAAGGATCCCCATACTTGTGTAGGTAGTTATTCAGGCCCGTATGCTAAATCCTTATACTCGCCCTTACAGCAGCCCTTATACACCCCTGTAAGGGAACCCTTCAAAGGGACCCCTATTCGAATTATTAAGGCCTCCTCTATATTACCCTAAGGGTCCATGTACCCATATAGCATATTTGGGCCCAATGTACCGATATAGGGAGTACTTTAAGGCCAATTTATATACTATATGAGCACATGGACCCTTAGGCCCTTAGGGTTAATCAACTTTTCGACAGACAGATCGGACGCTCAGGCCGCTGCGCACGGGTTGGGGTCCTGTGGGCCGTAGGATCGCGCCTCAAGCGAGGCGTCTTGTGCTTAGGGTCGAAGTTTTGGGTTTCTGGGCGTAGATCATGGGACTTAGTAAGTATAGGGTTATAAGTACCTTAATTAGGGTTTTAAGGAGATATATCTAATAGTTACCTTACCTTGCTTATGACCCTACTTACTAAGTCCTATAAGGGGTTGAGGGTTTTGGGGTTCAAGGCTGTTTAATTTAAGGGACATGAGCCACAGGCTGCACCTAGGGGTGAATGTCTGATGCAGTCAAGCCCAACAGAAGTTCAGGTGGCACGTCCCCAACACTAGTACGTGCCGCGGCGTCTGTTAAGTACCGTCAGGTTAGAACCTGCTTATAGCCGGCGTCAAAGTGTACTTTCCCAGTACCCAAGACATGAAACCTTACACTCAAGCAGGAAAAAACAAGTAGTTTGGTACTGCATTCTCTAAGGGTCCCGGTGCCCAAATGCATATACTTTGGCACTTAGGTGGCTTGTATATAGGTAGATTGGGGCAAAAGTATACAGTTTTTAAATTTAGGCACATGGGCCCATAGGGAATTCTAGCACAACCAAAACTTGTGAGATCCGCACCAACCCTCACGTTGACTCCTGCGAACTTAACAATCCTGTCGTAGACCTAAGTACAGCTCTTGTCGTGCTGCGTCGTGTAGTCGACGCAGCACAGAGGAACACCATGACCTCAGGC